ACAGAAGTCCCAGGCTCTTTAGAGGATTCTTGGGTGATGTATTGCAGGAGAACATGCACAGATGTTTTAGTGCTTTGTGCCGGGCTGTGTGTTTATAAAGCAAAGAATAACTCTTCTGGAGCCTGAGTGTCTGTTTGCTTCATTTGCAGATCTCCCTGAAGACAGAAAGTGTAAATCGTCCACAAGGCTGGAGAAAAATATATGCTTAAAGGAATGGGAAGTCTTAAAATATTCTTGAGTTCTTGGGTGGTGTTACACCAGATCTGCAGGGAAAATCCGTGGAACATTTTGTGTTTCTTCTTTTTTTCCTTAGAGTTTTTTTTCCCCTTAACCCAAGAACACTTCTGAGTCCCCCAAAGAGAGAGCTGCCCTGGCTTTGCTCTAACTTCATACTGGAGTGAGACATGCCAGCGTGCCAGCAAGTCCAGGTACAGGCAAAGACTTCAAGGAGGAGAAAGTGTCATATCCAGCTCAGAGACAGGAGAAAGAAGGTTCAGGAACCCTCCACGGTGGGACCAAAAGAGAGCAGTGTGCTGAAGGCAGCTCTACCAGGCTGGATGGCACTGCAGGGAAAGCGAGCTTCTGGGCTATGGAATCTTTTTCTATTGCCCATTTTCATCTATTACACATTCAAAACCCACTGACGTTAAGCTATCGGGAAGAAGCAACACCTGGTTCACTGGTAATCCTCAGAACTTCACCATTCCATTTTTATATAAAGGTATCTTGTAATATTTTATGTGTTCTGTATTGCTCATGTAAGAGTATCACTATCATTTTATGTAAGAGTATCACTATCATTTTATATAACTTAATTGCACTTCCTGCATTTTGCAAATGCCTAAGCTGAAGTTTAGAATTTTAAAACTTCTCAAAATGGCCATGTATTTGCACAGAACTTAAAAGATTAAAGCTGGATGGAAAGATGGCAACAATAGTGGCCATAGATTTTACATGAAAACTTGGAGACTAAGTTTTTTTACTTATGAAACATAAGGCATGGAAAACTTCAGAATAATCTGAAGCTCATGACTCTGCTTACTGAAGTATTCTTTAGTCATTATAGCATTGATAGTAAGGTTGAGAACATTTATTTGAGTACAAGTATGTACAACTATACTTGTATTTGAGTACAAGATGTATTAGTTCTCAAGAGGGGACGGTCATGGCACTGAGAATGTAATGGTATTTTCTGCAAAATGAGCACAGATTTCTGCAACTTAAACTACCAGAACAGAAATGCGAAGTTATATTCTTAGAAAATGGGAGTTTAAAATTACATTTGAAATATAAACATTTTTACATATAAACATTTTTCAAACTGGTGAGTATCAGTCTTGAATGATTGCAGGAAAATCCAGATTTCCCATCATTTTTTAGTCTTGAGTCTTTACAATGAGCAAACATTAAGGCCGTATACAGTGTTAGGCATATAAAATCAGAAAATAAAGATGTAACATACTAAGTGTATCATGTTGCCAGGAATAAAAACCCATGGAAGCTGCATGTGGTACTGCTCAGAGAGAGTGCCAGTTCAGTCAAATAATGAAACCAAAAAGAAAGCAGCAATCCACACAGCGAAGCTGTGGATTCTGACTGTAAAATGAATGTATGTAAATAATCAATAAACTTTCAATTAAAATGTTTATGATGAAGATGTATAGCAAAGAAATTCTGGCAGCTGACCACAGCTCATTTTCAAAAAACATTCAGGACTCTCTGCTTAGACATGGACTTAGGACTTCAGAGAAAGTGAAGTATAGCATCAGAGAAAATGTATTATGTCTTCAAGGACAAATTCTGCTCTGTTTAGAGAAAGGACAAAGAAACTAAAACCTACAGGATCAGGCCTGGTTCTGCTCTGTTTGGCTTGACACTACCCTGCTATGCAGCCAAAAAAACATGCACAATAAATGCTGCCTTTAAATAAATGCTGCCTTTACACAGTTAAAGGGTGCAAGAGGGAAATGCTTCGGAAAGGAAACTGAGGGGGAAAGAGCTGAGAAAGTAAGCCTACAAAGGCAGAAGGACTCAACAAGAAACAAATATTGTACATGAGCCAATGTCAAATACATATTACATGAAGGAGAAACAGAAGCTGTGGGAATCTTAAGCAGGGAAGATTTCAGACTGCAGGGTTAAGTCTAAATGCCAGAAGACATGGCTGCAGCATATCTAAATAGCTTGTTTGATAAAGAGATGGCTTAACTGAAGCACCATTTCCCAGTCCTTGGCTGATAAACAACAGGAACTCAGAGGCAGAGAAAAACAGGTCAAAAGAGGCCAACAAGTACATATTTTACCCAAAGCCACAGCTTTCAAAATGTACTGAGATATCTCTCCCATGACTTCTGCTCCTGGAGTCCATGCTTTTACTTGCATGTCCACAAACACCAGCTTGCCAAGCATCTGCAGCTACACTGACCTGGACTGCACTCCCTGGTTGACTTTTTCTCCCACTCCTCAACCTCAAGCCAAATAAAATTAGCTCTGATAGTCAGCAGCCCCAGATTCCAAATGCAACACCAGGTCTCAGTTCTTTCACCTTCTTGTTCTTCTGTGATTATCATGAGCATGTCCCTCCTAATCTTTTCAACAAGGCTATATGTCAGCAGATTCTTTCCCAAGTTTCACTCCCTAAAACACAGATTCTTCTAGACTGCTAAAACTGTCACCCAGGCTCATAGCACTGTGCCTCTCAATTACAGCAATACTCTCCCTCAGCCTGGACAAATGCAATCTGTCATCGTTGCTATCCATTCAAAATGCTGCTGTGAAATTCATCTCCTGAGCCCATCATCTGTCTGTGTCATTCTCACCTGTGCCTCCATCCATTGGATAAGCTTTCCCTACCTCATCAGTTATAGCTACTTACTTTAATTTCCAAGAAATTTCAAAGTCTAACTCATCACCCTTCAGCTCTCTCCAAGCATTTTCAGTGTGTATCCAAGAGCTTATTATGCTTGCCCTCTATGTCTGATTAGTTAAATGTGAGGATCTTTGTTCTTTCTGTGCCATATTTCTCTATAAACATCCCTGGATGAACAGCATGAGACAAATGAAAATACTACATTCATTGCAGGATTAGAAGCAGTGAGGTTCTGAACACAAAATTCTGTAACAGTAAAGCAGGGTAAATAATTTATAGCATGGGATTTATTTATCGTATTTTACTTAATTTTCTGTTTACAAAATGGTGCATTTGGTATTCAGATGTGTCCACCAAATAATCTTTGCAAATTATTCTTGCCATGCTGCTTAAAAACAACCAAATTTAAAAATGTATGTATTTAGGTCACATGATAAATGTCTGTACCCTAGTTACACAAATATATCTTTGAGGTGGCCTGGGTACAAGTAGTGGTGATTAAGTATCTAAAATTCACTACCTGACAATAACTTATAAAATCATAATTGTTGTGGTGGTGATTATTCCTATGCATAAATATTCCTTCTTTGTGTTCTCAGAGGACTCAACCAACCTTCTCTGCAGTCAGATTATAGAGTTTTGCATACTTTATATCCTATTCCCATGCAGCCATAATTTTCAACAAAGGATATTCTGAATGCTTCAAAACAGCTGAAATGAATCACCTGGGAACACAGTGAGTGAACACACAGCATGTGAAGCAGGGTCACCAGGGTTAGACTCTGGGTTAGAAGTTCCTCAAGTCCTCTTCCTGAAGCTGGGTCATAAATCCAGTGCAGCAACATTAGATTAACACACACTGAGATCACACTCACCATCTTTTCTGACAGCATCACCACAACAGTTTTCAAATTAGGGCTGGTACCTTCCACTGCATTCATGTCCCAAGATGGCATTTGGCTTCTGAGCATTAGGAGAACAAACCCCTAAACCATGAGCTGAAAACTTCTTTACAGTGTACTTGTTTATTTTGGTAAACAGCCCTACCAACCTTTAGCTATACCATTTTCAGTTTTATCTGTGATACATGCTGTAGCTTTTCAGCCATGATTATTATTTGGATGGGTAGTAATTATTTTTCAATTCCTTTTAAAGTGCATTAAGGGCTAGAAATGAAAGGAGCAGGACATTTTTGAAACCTTTTTCTCTACAGCCTATCAACAAATACTACATTAAATAGTTTGAAAAATGTTCGTTTGCAAACCTCAGGCATGTAATAAAGTCAATATGTAATTTTACAACCACATCTCTTTTCTCTTGTGCATTAACATATAAAAAGAGACTTGCTCTATTTCTTCTATCAGAATATTAAAGGCATTCCATATACAAAACAGTCTGTAGGTTTCACAAGATAATTACACTGCTAATATCTTCAGTGCATTTATTAAATTCTACCTCCCTCTTTTTTTCACTCATATACATACCGGACACCAAATCCACTTAAGAGAAGTGGAGATGAGCTCTCTAAGAGTTCTCTAATGGGACCAGCATGTGTGACATTTCCTTTGGAGCATGGCACACCAGCACTATGTCCCATTCATTACGTTTACTATGCATAGACATCTGCTGTCCTCTTCCTGTTTTTCAGTGGAAGTTGAAACTCCTTATAATAACATTTTTTAGTGAATGCTCTGCTCCTCATGGAAAATTTATTTCTTTCAAGGGAAAGATAAATGCCTAAACCCTAAACCATTCAAGTCAAAGGTGAATGCCTCCGAGGAGCTGAAGCCTGGCTTAGGATTCGTCACTGTGCACTTCTTCATTGTTAGAACACTGTGGCTGATGTGTCATCTAAAGGAAACCAGGCTATAATACAGGAGATGTGTATTTCTACAAGAAAATGGGAATATGAGACCAATATTCCCATGGGAGTATCACGATGACCATTTCATATTCAAGCATTTGAGTTTCAATGGTCATATTTCAGATCTGGGTTTTTTTACATATAAAACAAAAATATTGCCCCCATATTTTTCTGAGGAAGGTCTGCAATTTATGAAAAAAGCAACTGAGATTTTTTTTCTGCCTTCATTTCAGTTATGTTTTGCTAGGTTAGGACTTGAGCTGTTACCTTGTAGATGTCAAGGAATCCACACTGGTGGTCGAAGCGCGTGTAGAGCTCATTGAGCATGCTGATGACCTGCATGGGCGTGCACTGGGCACAGATGGCAGTGAAGCCAACAATGTCCGAGAAGAGCATGGTCACATCATCAAACTTCCTGGCCTGAACCTGCTGCCCCTGCCACAACTGCTGAGCCACCTCTTCGGGGAAAATAGAAATAAGGAGATCTACTGTCTTCTTTTTCTCCTCTTCCAGGGCTTGGTGTGTACATTCTAGTGTTGCCTTGAGCTTATCCATTCGCTTTTTCAAGCCGTCCTGTGCCTTTGCTTGCTCCCCAACCAGTATGACATCACGAGTAGCATCATGGATTGGTATGTCTGAAAGATGGAGGCCTCGGCCCATCAGCTCATCCAGCTTGTCCACACAGGGGGAACCCAGAAACAATATAGAGTTTGATTCTGGCACATGAATCATTTGTCCTTTAATTTCCATCACCTGTAAAACAAAAAGAAAGAGTTTAGACAAGGGGGAAAATCAACTTATAGATGTGGATCCTCATTCTACTTCCTCTGTCTTTTCAGCTAAAACAATTAACTGTAGCCTTTTATACAGAAGCCTTTTGCACTCACCTACTCAAGTAATGAGACTCACAGTCTGCTCACCAAATTGAGTCAGAAAACAAACTAAATTGACACAAAAGTATTCCCAAATCAGATGTTGGATTTTGTTTGTACCCAATTAAATAAGAAAGCAATAATATGTATTCTCAGAGTGTTGTCTAAATAATGCTCCTGGATGTACCTGGACTTAACAAGCAAATTTCTGAGTTGTTCTTTCTCTGTTACTTAGCTATTAATTACAAAAAGCAAAAAAGGGAAGAGAAATTGCAACTGTCTGAAAGCAGGTTAGTGAAATGAAGTGCCTTCTGTTCTTTTTCAGCAAAATATCTAATATAAGTCAATTGTGGTCATTTTATGGAGGAATCAAATAAAAATAGATGTGAAAAACAGCTCTATAAAATAACAAATGGCATGGAAATATCGTACTAGTCCTCCTGTTTCCTGTTTTCCTTCTCATACATGCCGACTCAGTTAGAATCTACAGATTTCTTGGTAACAGAGCTTCATCCAATTTGTATTTGTGGGATAGCAGAAGGTACAGTATGGAAGGAGCATCAGGTGGTTCATCACACTGGTTGATAGCTTTTGCATTAGCCTGTTAGATGTCTAGATGTTTTGAGCACTGTCCAAGGGTGGATATCACTGAGGCCGTGGATTGTCACCTCTTGCTCCATGATGGCAGTCAAGCACAAAACTGCCAGACTGAAATGGACACTGAAAACTAAATTAAATCAGACAAAGTGTATCTCTTTGTAAACACAGCTTGCCATAGCCTCTGTCATGAAAAACAACTCCATTAATGTTTCCCTTCCAGGACTGCGCAAAGACCAGGGCAATAATGTGCAAGATGATCTAGAAAAACCCACAGACCTTACCCTGAGGATCTCACAATCAATACAGGCACAACACACAAACCTTGTGCACCTAAGCAGTGTTAGGCACCATAATGCCTTGTATCTGTGTTTTTCTATTCCACATAGTATCTTAAAATGAAAAGGCCTCCTCCGGTCACCATTTCTTTCATCATGTAGCCATTTGCTTGCTGTCACATTATTCACTTATCATTTAATCCTCCTTCCATCCATAATCCTACCAAGCAAAATAGAAAAACCTCCATCAGGGAATCCAGAGGTGTTTGTAATAATGATGTGATTTAAGTGTCCAGTGGTCTGAAAGCTCCTGCTGAGGTGATAGGTAATCCTACATGGTACTTCCATGTCTGGGGGAGATTTAAGGAAGCACCTCTTTCTATCAGTTGTTTTTACATAAGGTTTACATAATATTTTTATACATAATGCTGTCATTGTAAACTCTATGGCAACATGAGAACTGAGCCTATCCTGTCCCTATTGCCCTCTGCCTTCTCTGCCAGCAACCTAACATTCAGCTCCTGATGTCAGCCAGGGAACTCAGCAAGTGAAAACAATAAATGCAAGTCATTAAAATTGTCAAATTTTCTAATTTATTTTCCTGCACACCTACTAATATTTACATTCCTAAGCCTTGCTTCCTCAGCTTCACTCTGGGACATTCATCTCAGTGAGAAAGCCAGTCAGCTAACTGCATGAGCTGATTTAATGCTCCATGGCTAAGTGTTCTTTTTCTACTTTTGAAACATGGCTCCCTGGGAAATAGGATGCTTTCTGCATGCATGCAGCCTCATGCTTCCAAAAGGGCACATGCAAAATTGTTTTAACTCCGAAGTACAAGTTGCCAAATATGAAATACATGGTACAGCATTTCTAAATTCTCTTCCTATTTTGTTCCCCTGTGCCAGAGAGTTTTCTGTTTGTTGATTTTCATTCTTGTGCAAAATAAAAGTATCTCATATTGCCTCTTCCATCACTTCCTCACTTGAATCTTCCATCTCCAGGTGAAAACAGGGTGTTTTCAGCTCAGGAGGATAAGAGAGAGTGTGACCACAGAGCCTGGCTGAGCCAGCCTAGCCTGGGCTTGAGCTGCATGTCAGCAAGGCAAGGCACCTGGCTTGGAGGTGTGTTTCTCCTGTTAACCTGCTGCGAGACTAGAAGAAAATCAATGCATCCTCCTGTGCTCCCACTTTGCCTCTGTCAATTTGAGGTGTTAAACTCTTTGATGTGATCACTGTCTGTGTTAATATATTGTGCCAACTTTCCCCAGGTGGACTTTTCTCAGGAAACACTGACTGTGTAAATAATGTACGAAATAGGCACTCTGGAGTCCTCTGCTCTGCTTCTGGGTAACCTCAGGCAGATTATCAATCCTGACTTCTTATGTGGCCTTTCAGCACAGCAGGAACAATGCTATTGACCACCCTGTAAGACACTTGGAGACTTATGTGTGAAAAGCAATAAAAGACATACCATCCTGTAAAATGCCTAACTAATAATAACCAAGTGAGCTGCCCTCTGCTTCAACAAGGTTGTTTCCAGAGCATTCTGAGAAATTTCTGCGAAGATATTCTCTGTACAAAATTTATTAGCTTCCTAAAACTGTCAAAGGTTCAGTGATATTTCAGCTTTATCCCCTAAATTATCACGTGTTCTGTTTAATAGGAATCGTTGATGTTTCCTATCATTTCTTTCATGTTACATTAGTGACTTTGTCATCCTGCTCCCTCTTGATGACTGATGAATGTTTTAGAAAATAGCCTGCCAGTCTCTTCAAGTTGCCAAATCAGGGAACAGGACAGCAGAAAAAAAACCTGCCCCAGATTTCCTGGGGCAAAACACTAAGGTCTTGTAAAGAACAACAGTAGAGAAGAGTTAAGACTGCATCACTCTTATCAGCTTTTGCAAAGCCCTTTCCTTTCCAAAGAAGTTTCAGATATGATTCAGACATTTTCTAGCAGACTTCAGTATGCAACTGTGATCCAGCAGGACCTCCATCTATTTTCTTTGATTTTTCATGCTTCTTATATTCTTCTTTTTTATCTAAAAACATAGCTGATGTTACACGGTATCAGGTTTGCCTGAAGCTTGCCATAGTAAGTCACACTTCTGGGCACCTCCCCAAAGCTGGACAGCTTTACACCTGGACCATAAGCCTACAGGCAAGCAGGATGGCATCATCCATCTTCCTTGTAAGCAGGGAAAGATAGAAACATTTCTGTCATCAGTTTTATTTCATTACTGCTACATTTCATTGCCTTCCTGTCTCTTTAATTACATTCTCACTGAATAAAATGAGACTAATTCTACCATTTTCAGAGGACATTCCACTGATTTACAGTGGTGCAAGAGAACATTTTGAAAAGAGCAATTATATATATCATATTTTACAGTCTTATGTTGCAGTGAAATGACAGCACAGCCTAAGTAGCTTTGGGATGAAAAACAAAAACCCTGTCACTGAAAGAAAGGGAGCAAATGGTTCCTGATTCCAGGGAACTCTTTCAGTGTCTCTCCCCAAAGACCCAGCTCAGAAATACTCACAGATTCTAAAGCTGCTTTTTGGGAACATGGAGAATCTCCCACTGAGCAGCGCACCACCAGCTCCTTCATTAGGTACACAATACCCAACCCTCTGCACAACCTCTGCATACTCTGGATGCAAACCACCCCAGGAACAAAAAGCTTATGAATCAAATGCTAAATCCACTGCCTAATTTTTAAGGAAAAGCACAGGGAAAAGTTTCATGGGTTGCACTGAGGGATGACAGTACTCCGTACAAAGATGTGTGTTTCGGAATAGTGATTGAGAGAAGGTGTACACATCTCCTCAAAAAGATTAAGGAAATACAGGATGGCATCCCTGAGAAATAACTGGGGGATTAAAAAGGATTTTCCTTCTAATTGGCCAGACCTTTTCTGCAGCCTCTGCAATCCACAAATTTCAATGAAGCTGCTCCTTTGATTTTGATCAGTGCATAAACCCTCCCAAACTGTGACTATAGTCTTCTCTTTTTTTAGTTTTATTAATTGGGATTAGGTTAGAAACTTACAGTGCTAGGCCACACTTTCATACACAGTTGCACATCCATGCTTGATTTCATACAATGGACAAGTTCAGTAAGAGAAAACAAAGCTGCTTCTTTATCAAGGTCATAGCTATTTAGAGAATGGAAAGACTGGGGCAAAATCAGCTTGAACCTGAACACCATCACCATCATAATTTCCAGGTACAAAGAGTTTAGGGTGACTTTCAGAAAGGAGGTCCAGCTGTTAACCTAAATTTTAAAACAACTGGACTTCTCTGAATATCCTACAGGATACATGGCAGTGCCTCAGGAACATTTACAGGAAGGTATTTCATAACATCTGAGCAGTTAGAGGCTTAGCGGATTTTGTGAACACAGACAAAACAGTACAGTTACAACAGTACACTTGCAGAAAGAAATGCAATGACTTTCTTGCTACGTTTCCATGACATATCTAGAAGGGCTGAAAGTATGACACACAACACTGGAATTAAAAAAAAATGTCTTAAATTGGAAAAATGGGCTAAAGGTGGAATTCAAAATAAGGGCAATAAATATATTTAGATAGAAATAAATGCAAAAAGTACAGGCAGGCTAACTGTTCCTGAGAAGATGGCCCAGAGTGCACAGAGTGGAACAATAGAATGTAAGCCAACATGGCATGCTGTCATGTAGAAATAAAACACCATACAGGACTAGGTAAACAAAAAATACAGTTTGCAAAACACCAGAAGTTATCCTTATACTGTGACCACCAATTTTCAGACCCCAGAAGGGCAAATCTGTCCCTTTTAAAGTATAACAAAAAGGTGGATTGATTGGAGAGTCTGGTGAAAAGCAATGAAGGTAATGGAAGGTCTAAAAAATATGACCTACAAAAAAATTTGAAAACATTTGATGGTTTGCCCCAAAGAAGAAAAATGTGAGTGTGGGCATATGAAAAAAACACTTTGTGCCAATGTAAAGAGGTCAAACAC